CTGGGTGAGGGTGGATATACACAAAGGCATTCTAGGACTAGGGCTGCTTTGTAATAAAGCTGAACTGGAATTAAGAATCAAAGCCATGGTGGGTTGACCCTGGCTGGACACCAGGTGCCCACCAAAGCTGCTCTATCGCTCCCCCTCCTCAAATGAACAGGGGAGAGGAAATACTATGAAGGGCTCATGGGTTGAGATGAGGACAGGGAGATCATTCACCAGTTACCATCACACACAAAACAGGCTCAACTTGGGGAAATTAATTTATTACCAACCAAATCAGAGGAGGATAATGAAAAATAAACCCAAATCTTAAAACACCTCCCCCCACCCCTCCCTTCTTCCTGGCCTTAATTGTACTCCTGATTTCTGTACTTCCTCCCTCCCAGCAGCACAGGGGGACAGGGAATGGGGGCTGAGCTCAGTTCATCACATGTCTCTGCTGCTGCTTCCTCCTCAGAGGGAGGACTCCTCAAATTCTTCCCCTGCTCCGGTGTGGGGTCCCTCCCATGGGAGACAGTCCTCCATGAACTTCTCCAACTTGAGTCCATCCCATGGGCCACAATTCTTCATGAACTGTTCCAGCGTGGGTACCTTTCACAGGGTGTGCACAGTCCTTCAGGAACAGACTGCTCCAGTGCAGACTAACTCATGTTAGTGCTCATCAGCAGCATCATGTGCTCATCTCTAGACTAACCATTCTCTAACAAGAATAGTTAGTCTAGAGATGAGCACATAATGCTGCTTTGTAATTAATTTGTCATCATACTAATTAATTACAAGTGCAGTGCACAAGTAAATGTTATGTTCATGTTCAGGTAGCTTTTCAAAATTTAAACTGAGTTTTGCTCTATTTAGTGTAGGGGGCAGCAGTGTCCTTGGAGAGAAGGACAAAATGCTGTGTCTGTTTCTGGGACAGCTGAAGAGCAGTGACAGAAGATGTTTTCCTTGACCAAAAGACAAGGAGATTGACACCGTCACAAACCAAACATTTTATTTTGATGGCAGCTGAGTTTAACTGTCAACATTTTGTGCAGTGTAGAACACAGCAGATGACATGACACGTGCCTGCAACTCTACAGCCTCCATGTCCCATCCCTACGGCTGGAGTCCCAAAGCTGTTTTGACACAGCAATGTGTTTGAGCTTCACAGGAAACATAACAACCACCTTTAATCCTGTGAAATTGTAGGTCATGTTCACAGCAACCTGCGTTTTCAGGTGAAAATAAATTCATATGGGCAGTGAATACAAATAAACTAGGTGCCTCTCTGCTTTTCCAGAATCACCACCCTTTCAGGAGAGGCTGTTTAAGAACACAAAAGGAAAGAAGCTGCTCTACCATTTCAGTTCAAACACTGTGTGTTCAGAAGCGTCCTACACACGTTGGTGCTGAGTCAGAGAGTCATGTTTTCTGTGTGTGTGGCAAAGTGGAATCTGCAGCAGTGACCAATCTCACCCCAAACACCTGAAGCAATAAGGTATCAAGACTGAGAAATGCTTTTGGCATCTGTAAATGCCACAGACTACCTGGATGATGAGAGAGAAAGTGGGTTCCCCGGCAGGTTGAACAGCACCTTTCCTTTTTTCCATTCATCCTGTGTAATAAACACCACGTAGCGTTTAAATTTAAATTTCTAGGATTACATTAATCAACTGAGTTGGAACTGTGAAGAGCCTCCTTCTCTCTACTCTGAGGTGCGAGGTTTCACCAGCTTCCAGACCTAAACAGCTGGTGCAAATAAACGTGCAATTATTTTCAGAAATGTTCTCTGTCTGCACGTTGTTACGTTGTGTCCTGACATGCAAACATAAAACACTATAATATTAATAAACATTAAATTCCTATTTAGCTTTAATAGGCTGCTTTTATTAAAAAAAAAAATGAAATACATTTTGTATTTTGGGCATTTATCTTTCTTTCGGAGCATGTATTTCTACAAGTTCCACATTCCAGTCCTATTTCTTGTGCTGCAAAGCTCTCGGAACCAAGAGCGCCGTAACCCCAGCGTTCTCCTAACGGTGGCACTGAAGCACAGATATGTTAATTTTATGCAAAAAAAGAAAAAAAGCTAGTAGGTAAAGGTACAGCCCCCTCCCTGGAAGTGTTGAAGGCCAGGCTGGATGAGGCTTTGAGCAACCTGGCCTAGTGGAAGGTGTCCCTGCTGATGGCAGGGGGATTGGAACTAGATGATCTTTAAGGTCCCTTCCAATCC